CACCACCTATACACCACATATCCGGTGTAAACTCGAAGGAATAAAACCAGCGGGCATGCGGATGGGAGCTACGTTATATCAACGGAGCCGACCCACACTCCTTCAACAAGCAGAACAGAAGCATTCCCGTCTAATTGGCAAATCATGCGTACCATACATACACAAGGCCGTGGCTGAGCCGTAGCCCGTTCCATACAGGAAGGAGCAACTCTTTGAACCTAACATCATCACGAGGACGGTGCACCCCATCCCATCCAGAAACGACCAGCTGTCTCCTTTAGCCATTATGGATGAGGTGGGGTGGGTTATAGACAGGCAGGCACTTTGTCGACATTCACATCAGGTGCAGTGACTTCGGGGAACTCCGTCAGCATCTAACCCCTGAAATGCAAGAATACTCAACACGCAGGCAAACGTACCGCATCCGCTGCCTTATTGGCCTGGATTAATAAATCGAATGGGAGTGGACGTATCGCGCTTCTCCACGTGGAATAATGCCATCTACACCTGGGCAACCGCCATCTTTATCAACCTATAGAAATCACACAGATCAACTTTGCCTTTGATTCCGAACACCTGAAATCAACCTTGGTTCGTGATAAACTCTCTTTGTTCATGTCTTGGTAACGTACTTTCGGTTTGCCCGCGTGCTACTTCCCTGCACTAAGTTGGCCGTACAAAGCTGTATGAGTATCCTCGTCGAATTCATTCGGTACACATAGAGACATGGATTAGCGGCATCCGTGTCTAATGGCGGTTCGAGTGCAACAGTTGCACATGCGTTTGTCCAAACTTAAGTATGAACTGCCATAAACTGGATAGAGGCACATTAAATCTCATGGGTTTCATTTGGAGGTAAGGCCAACAATCGTACTCATGGGAATAGATTCCCAATATGAACTGTCTGTGTTTTCTTTAACATTTAGACTTGTACATAATTGACAACCTCAAATCTTGGGCATCTGTGTACTCTGTTGTGGCCATAAACTATTTGCATCATACGTGTCGAGTGCAGTCATTCGACGCTCCTGAACAATTGTCGCTGTGCGCCGATTCCTTTCCGATGTGATATCCGAAGACACTGAGGTATCATTACCGTTAGCATTACCTTCTTCTTAGTCTACTCAAAAGATTGGCCATGCCTAATTCATCTTCTAGTACGCGCCTCTGCGCTTCCGTCTTCCATCCGCATAATACTTGCGTTTTAATAAGCGCAGGTAAAATCGGTATGGCTGATGAACAACGGGAAATATAACTATTCACTCCCATTACTAACACGTGGAGCGGAACATTAACTGTCCAAATCATGTTATTCTTTAGTCGCTTAATTGTCACGTGTTTTCACTTGCCACGGATTTTCCAGAGCGATTTTTCGAATACGTGGTCCAACTTGCTCAGACGAGAGCAAATCGTTGAGCATTGTGTTCCAAATTTCACACTTTACATCTGCTAAGAGCTGATAACCTTTGATTCACGCCTATCCACGCAACTGGAAATATACTCCATAATTTGCCACGCCAGCATAGATTCGTGTCAACAACTCCATTCGCTCGAAAACTCCGCGCGCACGCCAATTACGAATAAGCTCATGGATGGATTGAACCTTAATCTTATGATGTACCGGCTCTCTAAGCGTCTTGCTAGTTAGGTTAACTGATCGAGATTAGATCATGTAATCTATCAATCGATTTCAAGGAGCGGAGTGTAGGCAACAATAGTGATATCGGCAGCCTTGCATAGTCTGGTGAGCAATACCATAAGGTGAATCGCGGACGAATAATACTACGGAGAAGATGCTGTAGCTCACTGTCTTGGTATGGCATTGTTGTAGAATCCACTTGCGAAAGTGGCATGGACATCATAGGTCACCATGAATACAACAATGTTATGGGTTACACGTGAAGTCATCGCGAAATACAACCGAGTTAAGTAAGCCCAATACAAAGTAGGTTAGATGTGGCTCTTCCGTCTTGGGCGAGTGTAATAAACATACTACATTACACCAAGTCAGTAGTTATTCATTCTAGAGTGAAACTGTACCCTAGCGCAACTTGCATGAGCGGTAGAATAGGGATGACACGAAGCAGCTGACGTAGATGGAGTAGGAAAGTTTTCGATTTAGCCGGGTAATGTTGCGCTTAAGTCAACTGATTTTCCTAAGCTCAGCTAAGTTAAAGTTGGCGGATGAAGAACGGGAATTATAGCTACGCTCGCTTTAACGAAGAAATAAAACTACAGTGGGACATTGATGATTTATCGTTGGTGTGTGCTGAAGATGCCGTCTCCTATAATAACTGCAGGCTAAGCCAGTACCGAGCCGATCGTCACTTGTCTTAGGTAAGCGAGAATTAACAGGTATGTGGAACCACCAGGTGGTCAGCCGTGTGTTACTATTTATTGTCCCTTGGTTGCCCATTCTTGGCGTTAGCGTATCTCTACCAATTCCTCAGTGCCGAGAATGCTACCATTGTCCAAGCATTTCTGTTTGGATGTCACATCGTGTTGCCGCTGTCCGTGAATCAAATTTGATGACTTGTCTGAATCTCAGTGTGTGTGCCTGAAGGCGACAGCAGTACAAGGGGGGTGTACAGAGGCCCTTAACCGGGCGATATTCACATCACATTACAACCCACAATACTTCACGGTGTCACATGAATTGAAATGTAATATGTAATATATGACACGCAACGAGACCCGGATAGATGTTAGCGGTACGTGTAATTTGGGCGAGCCCCAGTTAGATGTCGAGACATCAGATAATGGTGTCACGCGTGTGAAAATGCGATTAGTCTGCCAAGCTGCAACCTGGCGCTTACAAGTGCTTCTAAATGGCTTTCGCTTAGTCGTATATATATATATATATATATATATATATATATATATATAGTATTGGCCAAATTATTAGCAGTTTTTTTCCAATCAGCAAAATTTTTCATATTTCATCACATATCTCGTAAGAATCAAATGATGTAACTGTGAAATGGTTATATTTACCAAGAATAACATCAAATAGAAAATCATCAAGGTTAGTATTTCGTAAATGATCCTTTGGCAATTTTCAAGGAGTTAACACGCAAAAGCATTTAGTGAATGAGTTTTTTTCAAAGTTCAGTCAGGCTTCCACTGCGAGCCCAGGTCGCTACAATTTGTTCAATGAGCAGTTGGTTGTTTCAAATAATTTGTTTCTTCATCTCTGACTTTAGAATTGCCCATAAATTCTCTATTGGGTTCATGTCAGGGCTATTACCAGGCCATGGTAACACTTCTATACCACAACCCTCAAGAAAACGGGTGACTTCACGCCCCTTGTGACATGGAGCACTGTCATGCATGAAAATGAAGTCTCCTGTCCCTGTAAATCCTTTTTCATCTGACCATTCACACAGCTGAGGGATCAGTTGGTGCTCTAGTAGTTCTTTGTATTGCTGCTGGTTCATGTTACCCTGGACGATGGAGAGCCGACCAGTTCCGTAGATGCTCATAGAGCTCCATATCATGACCTGAGTGGGATGTTTGACTCGTTGAATGATGCAGTCTTCCCTCATCTGTTCGCCAGGTAGTCGGCGGACATATAGAAATAGCTGGTCAGAGCACCGGATGATGCACTCATCGCTGAAAACCACCTAAGATGAAACACAGAAAAACGCAGAAAACAGCAAAAGTAATGTAGACACAATTTTCTGGAAAATCCATATGAAAATAAATCCCGCTTCTTACCCGCTCCCAGTCTTCTTTGGACCATTTTTGAAGCTGTTTGGTCCATTCCTGTCGTTTTTCTTTCATTTGTTTGGTCAACTTTTGCTTCTTCAGAGGCCCGCAAGCTCCAAGTTCAAAATCCAAAAGTAGTCTTCTTACAGTTCTCGAACTAACTGCAACACCATACTGTTCCAACATCCCTTGTAGCTGTCTGCTAAATGCTTTGCGATTCTTTAGGCATTCCCTTAGTAAAGTGAGTCGTCTCGAGCTGTTGTTTCTCTTCTGCGACCACATTTACCGGAACGTTTAGGGGACAGAGGTAAATTCTTTTGCAATTTCTTTCGAAGTCGACATACAGACGCTGGGCTGACACCAGTCTTGCTTGCAATTTCTGCTCCTTTGACATCTTTCAACAAGAGTTCAATTTGTGCACGCTTTCGAGGAGTTAGGTCACGTAATTTACCCATTAATATGCCAACACTATCTAAAAACCTGCGATCAATACGGTTGTATCATTACTTGAGCAGACACCTTGAAAAATAACAACTATAGTAATTAAACATACCTATAAATTGGTCTAAAACCAGACAAATGTAATCCTGAAATGTAGACTACAGCTGTAAATAAGTAAGTATGATAAACATGTAACCTTATGTTTACATAACTACTGTATGCGTCACATCAACCAATTTGTCATCATTTACAAAAAATCTCACATACTCTGCCTTTTGCGTGTTAACTCCTTGAAAATTGCCAAAGTATCATTTATGAAATACAAAGTTTGATGATTTTCTATTCGATATATGTTATTCTTGGTAAATATAACCATTTTACAGTTACATCATTTGATTCTTACGAGATATGTGATGAAAGATGAAAAAATTTGCTGATTGAAAAAAATTTCTAATAATTTGGCCAATACTATATATATATATATATATATATATATATTTGCAACAGAAGTCTATCGAATCACACTACTCTGTTTGAAATAAGCTGAATGAAGCACCCGAACTCTGTCGAATAGTGATTTCCAGCCACTGTTTGACACAGCTCTCACATAGGTTTATGCCAAGGTTATTCATCCAACAAACCGATGTAGTGACCTTAGAAATTGTTTGACACGCATTATTTGAAGCTTGCCTACTCCTTATAATGTTCTGTTACCGACCGCATACACTGTATGCTCGAGTTTATGAAAGAACTTATACCTCGGGTCTCATGCGCTTAACATACATATGGGTTTTCCCATTCCTTCGTTATGGCACTTTTTACTCTAATTTTCCTTTTCTTTTCGTCTGTAGAATGACATTAGTTCTTCGCTGACGAAATCACCAAGTGGCGTTGAGTCGACCGAACGGGTGCGCTTAAACGGCATTGCAAAGTCACTACCGGTCTCTGCAATGAATGGGCACACAAAGGGAAATGAAGTTATCTTCTCTGGTGCATGTGCAACTGCCTCTCCTGCGATTTCATCTTGCAAAGATAGTAGTACGTGTTCGGCGACCAGTCTGACAAACGGAACTAATGACGGCAGTGACAGCGGTGGCAGCAGTAGCGGTGGAAGTAGTGAGAGCAGCGGGAACGAAACCTCCCCTGAATCCTTACGGCATTCATCGACGTCCCACAATCGCTTTCTGAAACGCCGCCGCAAATGGGGATCCCGAAGCCGACTCTTCAATCCGAAGCGTAAACGGGTCCATACTCTCTCTGATCCACAAGCTGACCAGTGCACTGTTTCTCTGTCTCCTCCAAGCGTTGACAAAGACAGTCTGTTGAAGCAACCACTGAATCTGAGGCCACTCCCGGATTCCGTGTTAGCTCCAAATTGGAAATCCCCATTATCCCCCGTTTCTCCAGTGGGCACTGGCAACTCATTCATTTCTAAAGTGACACCACCTGATTCAGATAATACCACTTCTTCTAACTCGGGGAGACGAACCGAGTCTAGTCAACCATGTGAAAGCCCTTCAGATTCCTTTCCAGCTCCAGTTTCTGAAGTGCCAAGAACCCCTGCACAAGAACGCATATCCCACAGATACGTTTGTGAATGGGAAAATTGTCATGCTTGTTTTGATAAGAAAGCTTATGTAAGTTTGTTTTCCATTTTACTGGTTTTTTATGACACTTAATTGCGTATAATCTAGCTGACAGTTTCTAATCACTCATCATGCGAATTCATGGCTTATTGATACTTATAGTTACTCCAATCCCGAGCCGGATGAGCGAGTACTCAGTGTAGGATGTCCTGTATTGCGATTCACACAACAAAACGGCTCTGCCTGTGCTCATTTGCGTCTCAATATCCTTTGTGCTTGTGGTTGATGATTTTAGACTCAATCCTGCTGCCCTTTTCGTGACGGATATCGGCTCCTACTTCATGTCATCCTATTTGTAATGCATTTTTTGCTGTCTTCTGGATGTTGAGTTTTACTAGCATCGCGCTTTTTCTCTTCCATACCACCTTAGGTTGCTACACATGTTTACCAGATCCACCTGGCCACTCTGGATCGCACAAACAAAGACGGGACTCATGCGATTCGGCGCTGTTGCCACTGGCGCGACTGCCTATCTTCATCGCTTGCACGCGCTCCTTTCGCTTTGCTGACTCATGTGTTAGATGTCCACTGCAATCCTGCAGAACTGGAAGCCCGCAAACATATGACCTCCTCTATTCCCCCTGCTTCACCTATCTGTGATGTTTACCAGGTAGGTAAACACCCCGCCGCCTGGAATCACCCAGAGCCTTCTGCGGTTCAATCGCAACATGGTCACTTGGTCTATCCGGTGGATCCCAACGCACTATCTCATGGCGATCAGAGCGCTTGGTCCATCGTCCGGTCGCTGGAGATGAGACAGATGCAACATGATATGTGGGCTGCTCACTATCATTTGGTATCGGCCAATCCATTGATCAGATTGCCGTTTATCGCACCGTCTCATCTTTCGTTATCGCCACCACCTCGTGAGGGTCCAGTTACGAAGCATTTACGGGTCACAGCTGCTTTGGTCCTTCGTAATTTTGTTCTCTATCTGAACGAAGCCAAGGAGTAAGCTGTCCCTTCACGGTTTTTTCCCTGTTCATTGTCTGTTCTTCGGTATTGCGTCGAGTGCTGCACTCGACGATCTGGTTGACCTTGTACCGTTCGCTTTGGCTAATTGCTTCATATTAAGCATCCATCGCGAAGTAAATTATTTGTTGTTGCCACTCCATGTTGTCGCATAAAGTGTAACAAATGTACTGACAGTCTCGATCAGACCTGGTTGATGCTTCAAGGATGGTCACCTGGCTCACTCGAGCGGTTCATGGCACTTTCGAGCACAACCTTTTGCCTCTTGTTTTCAATCTTTTCATTTCACAGCTATATCTTCTCTATTCTAATCTACCCTCGACATGTCTATATCTCCTTTCCTCTGGTATTTTATTTTTGCAATGACGGCACCTGTATTTGCTGTATTTCGGTGTTCGAACGATGGTCAACGGATTCTACCTTCCTTATCTTCACTTTTCAAACGCCGTGTTTTAACGTATCTCGCCATCTTCCTGATCTTTATGTCATGTGCACTTCTCTCAATGTGTAACTAAGCGATATCTGCGCACCAGTTCATCATCATCAACACCAGTACATCAGCCATTTGAACTAATGCTTTGCTATCATACAACCATGGTGACTTACCGAATAAAGAATAAGGGGGACTTACCGGAAAATTCTTAATGCTGTAAGTAAACATTCAGGGTAAGAGCACCAATACAGTGTTGACACACTTCTTTTACCGATCCAACCCGCTCGTTATATCCTATTTTTCCACAGATTTCGCTGAGTTAGTCACCAGATGTAGTCTGCTGGTCTGTCACAAGCACATCCGACGACATCTAGTTTTCACTGAATTTTCGCAACTCCATGTTTGGTCCCTACTTCTGCACTGCCCTTGAAGAGAGCCTCAGCTATACACTGTAGCACTGTGCGGCCGCATGTTGACTGGAATATTGCGAGGTCACCCACACTTAGGCAGACTCAAATCAGTCCTCTGTGAATCACAAGCCTTACATTCGAGCTACATTTCCGATCGGACGCCCTCACGGGAAACAAGCCATCCAGTGTAGCTCTGATGTCTTCAATGGCAGATCTCATTGACAACTATCATCCTTTCCTCGTCTGGCCAGCAATGTAGGTATCACCATAGTTGCGGGGTGACAGATCCTGGATTGCGTCGTTTGTCAGAGTCCGGATCTCGTCTCGATGATCATCTCGAAGTTACTTTTTATCGATCCGGTTTTTCCAGCTACCTACTGACCACAACCAACATCACTTCTCTAGCACAAAGCTTTGCCATGGAAACATGCGTTACTAGTTCAGGTTGTTCAGTTGGTAGTGGAATTGTTCACTGAGCTTGGCGATCTTTTTGCAAGTATTTCCTCATCATCAGTTGGGGTGACGTCATCAGTGCGCTTTGCTACGCAACAACGCACTGATACTGTCACGCCTGTGGGTGATGAAACGTTCGCATTAGAATTTCCATCTTCGCTACGCGTTCCGGCTACCCCATAAACTTTTGCATAATCTTGCTTACCATCTATTAAATGACACGCTGTCCTGAATACAACTTTATCTTTTTAACCGTTGTCAGTTCGGCTTTGGTCAATAGGTCTAACTCTCCAGTTATCGATCGTCTCCTACTGCGCATTTGCACAGCACTCGCTCTCACATCATCACAAATGCTTCTTACTTCAAAGCTACCTTCTGCGTGAATCTACATTTTCACAGGCCACGTCATCAATCCAACTTGGATGTTTGGCCGTCACTGATAGATGAATTGGATGCATTGAGAGCTGGTTTTGATCACCTCCGAAATGTATTGAATTGGGTTTGAAGCCAGTTGCTCTTCTAGCTTGGTTCTTCATAATGGTGATAGATTCCAACGAACCTCTTTACTTATTTGAAATGGCGTCTGACTGCCAGCCCCAAGTCCAATAGGGAGTGCTTGGGCCATTTAGGGATATAGTCATCACAAGCGGTCGAGACCGATTCCACTTCACTTGAAGAATTGGCCCACAAAGGAATGTTGTGAGTGAGACCACGACTGGAAAAGATAATTGTTTCACTCTCAGGACGATTGACGTAGTCTTCGTTTCGTGAAACGATTTGACTCGACTACTGGCTAACCATTGCTTGCCGACTCGCTTGAACGCTACTTGGATGATGATGTTGCCACTGAAAACCTCAGAGAACTCCGGAACGAGCTTACAACGTTGAATCGTGACAAGGTCCTCGGACTCGACGATCTCCCTCAGCCGTTGCTGAAAACAGGTGAATTGTTTAGGGTGTATCTGGCCACCATCTTTACTGCGTGTCAGTATAAAAGTCACTTTTTATGGGTGTCGTCCGCTGTCGGTGAGGATCATCCCCACATCAACTCTTTTGCCATTAATAACAACAGTAATACGTACATTTCTCATAATCCGAGCAACTATGTCTGTAGCGGCACAGGTCAATGTATACCAAAGTAACCATGCTCTTGCATGAGCGATGTGCGTATGTGCAATAGTGATTCATGTGATGGAGTTTTGATGGATAATTGAAGCGAAAGCTAAGGTTTAAATGTTTTTGGGCCCCTCTCGGAATAGCTCTTGAAAGAATTTTTCCCATTTGGATATAGTCATTATGGTATTCAGGTCAGGTCAAGAGCTTATTACTAAATGTTGCCACATTGTCACATGACCTGTGTGTGATGGGCAGTTTATCCCACTGATACTTATATCCGACCAGTGAAAACTCTGATCGAATGCTTGTTCTAGCCTTTGGTGTAATTAGTGTGTAATATTTGTTGATAATTTCCCGAGTTCAGCCATGTTGCAGTTCGATTGTAGGCAGATCAGAATAGCTTTTCTCGTACCGCAGATTGTGAAGCAGCAACAAGGTATGCTTCGACCACTACATACACAGTGGTTCGACTTGAAGTTTGTTGCAACACTCGATAATTCATGACAGAATGCTTACCAATCGGATGTTTAGTAAACGACCTCTTCGGGTGTTCCACAGCAATTCTGTCACTTTCTCTCATATTGGCATCAACAGTACACCGGTACGCAGTACCGATGCTTCGCTGCCGCGTGACCACTGCCAGTCGCTCGCAGGCTAAAGAAACTGCGAGAGTCACCCGGTCCCGTACCCATGCTCGAACCCGCGCCGTCAGACTACTGGGCAGGTTTGTGATCCTTAAGGCCATGGGCCAGTTTGCAGTTGTTTCGTCGGCACTCGAGGTGGCATCTTCAGTGCTTGTTAGTAGTGATAGGTTTGTTGGTGTGCAAGAAGCTTTATCTCACATTACCATATTTTATTTTACAGTACTTGAGAATCGGGTGGGTGGGAAGCTTAGAGCTTCACTCTGGCATGGAGTGTGCTTATTTCGTTAGCTATATTAACTACAGATTGTCTGGCACCTGCTACTTGGTATCGAGCTTGTTGCTAGAATTTGAATTTAGATGAGTTCCAAATTTCGATATCGCACGTCGACAGCTGTATGGGGACATTGTCATTGTTCAGTGCAATAGACCTTTCCGGGAAGGAACAGCCGTATGACATGATACCTGATTTCTTAGGCGACAGGTTTACCATACATATGTGGCGCCATGCCTCTAAGTCATCTGATTTATTTTAAATGAGCAAAAGCGTTCCGTGAAGTTCGTCACACCGAAGGTTATAAACGCTCTTTATATCGCCGACGAATAAAAATAACCGACAATTTTTACGAATAGTGACGTCATTGATGTATAACAGAAACGGTGGAGGACCGAACACGCTCCCTTGTAAGACCTCACTAGTGTTGGGGTTGTGGAGAAGAGCGATAGTCACCTAAAGTGACTACTTGAGTCGATCACTCAGGTTTCACAATAACCAGCCTAGCAATGGATCCCGGATCGCAAACGTCTGTAACTTGCGTAACAACCGCTTATGATTTACCCGTTCGCATGCTTGGTATATGTCTAGAAACAGAATTACTACTGCATAATCGGGATTCTGAAATGCAGTTCAGATAATGTAATTGATAGGTGGTGCACGATCGCTTTCATAAAAATCATACTGTGAATTATTTATCAGGCCCACAAAGGTCATCACTCCCTTTTTGGCCAGTTTTTCGAATAACCTGGCGATTATTGGAGTGTGATGTATTCGGCGATAGTTATCAATCATTTGTTTGGTAAATGACGTTTACCGTTGATCTGGAAAGTGCTAGGTTCCAGCAACATGTTGAGCATATCAGGAGCAGTTGTGTATCAGACCCTCCTAGTTTATTGGTGAAATTCCATCAGGTCCCAGCTTGGAGGATGGCCTAATTGACTTAACACTTTGGTGGGTACTGCTCAAGAGGTTTTTTACTTCAGCCTCTGTATACACAGGTACACAGTCATATTTCAGGTCATGGAAGTGGCGAAGAAGTCACTGAATGGTGGTTCGGTGTTGCTCCTCCAAACCCTGAGACCCCATGACCGGTTTCGTGCTCCTTTGGACTCATCAGATGGAGATACCCTGAGCTGGGGTGGACCTCGAGGTATAGTGTTCAAAGGTTGACGCCCTGACCACCATGGCTCCTAGGTCCGCGAGCAACGTTTGGCACAGCGGTAAAGTGTTCCAAGTGGCATTTGGTATACTCGCTGTGTGGTTGGATTGCGACTCGCAATCTCTATTTAGACCTCGGTCCTAAGTGGACCTCGGTCATTACGATCACAAGGACCGTAACCGAATTGGTGGTTCGGTGTTGCTCCTCCCAACCCTGAGACCCCATGACCGGTTTCGTGCTCCTTTGGACTCATCAGATGGAGATACCCTGAGCTGGGGTGGACCTCGAGGTATAGTGTTCAAAGGTTGACGCCTTTACCGCTGTGCCAAGCGTTGCTCGCGGACCTAGGAGCCATGGTGGTCAGGGCGTCAACCTTTGAACACTACCTCGAGGTCCACCCCAGCTCAGGGTATCTCCATCTGATGAGTCCAAAGGAGCACGAAACCGGTCATGGGGTCTCAGGGTTGGGAGGAGCAACACCGAACCACCAATTCGGTTACGGTCCTTGTGATCGTAATGACCGAGGTCTGAATAGAGATTGCGAGTCGCAATCCAACCGCACAGCGAGTATACCAAATGCCACTTGGAAGTCACTGAATGCTTTACAGATTGTAGCTGGATCATAAAGCAGGTGACCTTCACCGTCAATCATTTCGGTAACCAGAGGAGAGCGACCACTGGTTCCACGAAGCAGTATTTTTAAAACTCCCTCACCTTGAAGCTTGTTCATAGGGCTATGTGTTCTTCATTTTTCGTCGCGTTAACCGCGCATGGTTGACTCTGGCGATAAATTCATGCCTTTCTAAGATCAGTGCAAAATCGGATCTTTCTGAATTTAGCAGATAGTTTTCTGGCCGACTGAGTGTTCGGTAACATATTTGGAGACATGAACAATAAAGATCACATTATAGAACAATGAGGACCATAGTGCGATGGATCTGATCATAATACTGCTCCGCAGCAGTATACAGACTTGTAGAGAGGAAGATTACATCCCACTACGAGAACCAAACTAACTGATGCAACTATTCCGTTTATTTTTAACTTGCATGTCACAGTGTAGAAGCGAGTTTAGTGCCATTTTTATGTAGGAACTGAGTTGTATCCAATGACACCGTCTTAGGTCTCAGTCTGAGGATCGGGTATTCCTAATGTGAATATTAAGTCCAATACGTTGACCGATCTGGTTGGACTAGTAACCCATTACATCCAGCCCAGTGTTCTAATGAAAGAAAGAAAACTTGTTTGCAAAGATGAGAATGGTTGGTGTGATAAGCGAGTTTTTGGTAAGTTGAAATCACCGGCATTTATCTTCTGTCTGTGTGGCGACCCTGATGCGGCCAAAGGCAAAAGTGGTGTTGGCGATACTCATGTTAGCTGCATTCGGTGGGCTATAGATACAGGCGATCAGTATGTAAGAGGAGGCGCCTGCAACTGACAGTCATATAGATTCAAGAACACGTTCAGCTCTAAATGTTTTGTGCATGTTTATGGTACAACTTCCACCTTTTCAGCCAGTGATAGTTTTGGAATCATCAAAGTAGAGTCAAGTGTATCAGATGAACACCATGTTTCGGTAACGATGATGGCTTGTGAGTCATTGAGCTGTTTCCGTAAGCCGCAAATGGGCACATAACGAAACAGTATACTTGAAAACCAGACTAGTTTCTACTTTGACAGTGGCCACATGCTGTGAACACGTGACAAATGACTCAACCGAACTGGAGACAGTATCAATGACTCTAACCAATTAACGCAGTCATTACCACAGTCATAACCAGTCATAACCACAGTCATTACTGTGGTGATACTCAAAGCATACAGCGGAACGAGCCACTACCATCAAACAGCACGACATCGTTGAGGCGATAACATTCCTTGAAAGCAAACCTCGTGGTCGTTCAATCCATCGGTGCAACGGTTTTCGGTCTCCGTATGTCTGTGAGTGTGAATGCAATGAGTGTTATCCGTTGTGGCTAATGTAGACTATCCTGCCAACTTTTCACGTTCTTGCCTTGTAATCTCCATGCCCCAGATTCGAGTCCTCCGCTCTGTTTGGCGTTCGTATAAGTGCTTGCAACCTGTTAACCCTGCAAGTGTTTTCCACCCAAGTGACGTCTCTTTTTAAGGTAACGAATACCGAGCTGATCCGCTCGCTTCTTACCACCTCTGAGGTGCATCATCATTAAAGTGTCGAGTATATGGCGGAGCGTAGATCGATAAAACTTCGAAATCCAACTTGCTCTTCGCGTGTGTTCTGTTCGCGTACCAGGCTGAGTCTACTTAAAATCAGGGTAGGGATCACTTTGGAAGCAACAAAGATGAGGCTAATCCATCTGGGGTTAACGCAGTCTGTCCACACACACTTCTTGAAGCCGGACACGATATCCACTGGGCTCCAATCATACGGGATTGCTTCGGTGAGCCTAATCTCTTGGAGAAGAAAAGTTAAATTTCGAACTAGTGATTTACCTCCATACTTGAAAAGAGCCGGAGGGAGCTCTTCTGGACCAGAGACATTGTGTCACTTCAAGGGGCGAAGCTAATGAGCAACTTCAGTTTCAGATAGTTTACTCACTATGCAGCGCTCTGGATTCCTGAGTGAGTACTCCCTGGTTCTACTGTACAAAATGCTCGGCCCAATGCACAAGTCGATATTGTTGACAGTGGATTGGCTCTCCATTGATTTCACACAAAACTTCGCTTACGCACGTAAAGCTCTTCGACAAACGTGGAGCACTTTGTGTGATTTTCGTCATCATTTTATAGCCACAATTCGCTATGCCATGCGGCATTTGAGCCAACGTGCGTCTGTCGGAAGTGAACCGTGAACCTACTTTCGTCAATGCAGATACACTTCACCTGTATCCGCACCAAAGCATCCCGAATGCTGTTTAACGGTATCTTCGATATGCTGCAAAACATAGGAGTCGGCTTCTCTCTGTCATTTTCTCTACACTTTCCTTGGACAGAATCACTTTCTCGTCTGTAAGCATTGCTGATGTTCGTTCCTTGCAGTGATCTCGCTGACGTCGGCAGTTTGAGCACCCTTCTTGGTGCCTTTCCCCTCGGCGAGCACAAACTTGATGAGGATCTCTTTTTGCTCTAAATGCGTTCACCCTACCATTGCTGCCTCGGAAACACGTCTTCCTATCGTTGCTCGTTCATATTCATCCGTTTCTGGAGGAATTCAATTTAGTGAAAAAATGTCTCCAATATATACGTTGGCTGATAAAATCTAAGCATAGATTAGTAAGTCACAACAGGCTTTATCATTCATGAATGCGACTTCCTAGTGCGCACATGCATACAGACCCACCCGCGCAGTATACACAGCGGCCGCTGCAATGAATTAGACAACTGGGTCATCGCCTATGCTAGAGGCGAACGATGCTCATGAGGAAGCCAAGTCACGGTCATGACAAGAAAACAGCTCGCACTTGCTCCCCATGCTAACATAATTCGGGTTGTATTTGCCTGCTTTCAATGTGGTTTGAAAATCATCCTGTTTGATTTGAAAGATGAATAGTTTAAAGTGAATATAGCACAATATTAAGCTTGATGCAGCTTGGTGTGCACTTACACACTATCCTAATTAATTTCACACGTTACCGACACATTAGATTTACTCAGTCTCTCAAGACTGACACGGAATCCTGCTATGTTCTAATCAAACTTCTGCGGTCCAGCCTACTTTGGAAATATGAGCTACCTCACCGTCAAGATGTGTCCGTCCTCTAAAAGGATGCTAGGGATTGTATATAAGACATGAGCCTTATCTTAGCGGGCGAGGTTTCAGTTAGTAACGACGCGTCCACATACCATGGTGCAACGTGGACACTCAAAGCGCAGCCTGAGATCGCTAGTTACCAGACAAATGGTTGTTCAGCCTATGGCAGACAACCTGTGCCATCGTCGTCGCTACCGATCTCACCTGGAACTTCGGTTACAATCATCGTTCTTTCGCCCACGGTTCGGATCAGAAGAAAAAGTTCCAAAGTGAACCACTGTGTGACGTTTCCGGATTCTTTGGAGGCTTCTGGATCGGGTATCTCAGTGGTTAGAGGCTCTTCAACTCGGCATAGACTTGATCCTCGTTTTTAACCTTTTGGTACGACTTTTCACGTCAACTTGTGTTATTTTGAATTTCCTCTGTTTCTCCGCTCTGACGACACGAATCATGTTACTCGGATTCGCGGCATTTCTATGCTTTAATCACATATGCACAACTGAACTAATTTGATCTTTTGTGACCAACTCACCCAACAACCTTTTCCATTCATCTTGTGATCTTCGCTCATCTGTATCATCACTCTCTTCAATACAGTCCCGGTATGTGGCTGATGAAGCCTACTGCCCATGGCTTTGAGACTGCCTTCTTCTTCTTCACTGAAGGGCGTTCTCGTTTTAACTTACTGGGTAACCACTGCTTTGGTTGCATCCTAGACACTGACTCCTCACGTAGACTGTCTGACTTCTTTGTTCTACTTATGTGTCCACACTATCGAGTAGATTTTTCGACTAATTACTTCTATCTCTCTTGTCAGTTGGTTCGCCTCGGAACTTCCGCTCCTATCTGAGATCGCCCTGGGCTGTTCTCCAAGTGACAGTGGTTTGAAGACGAACGACGCTGGATCTATTGTCGCCCAGTGTTTTGCCCTTTGCTCCCGTGTTGGTGGTTCATCGACTCAGCAGCCTCTCTCATGTTCACTGTCTAACCCTCCACCATCCTATCATCCCAAACCTGCGGCTCTCGTCGTACCACGATATCCTCCCTCCTCAGACCAACACCGAAGATGCACATCGTTACAACTTCAGTCACCGACACATACTGTCGATCTAGATGCCAAATCTACTTAACAGTGCTCTATGCTGCCTTTTTTACTACTTAGTCTGGGTCGTATCCTAATTTGTATACTTCAAGTACCCTTCGCATGTTGTGTTTGTACATCGTGGATCTTACCTTTTCCGTTGTTCCTCACGTTATCTTCTCCACTGTCCCTCGTGACCCACTCGTCTGTCTGTAAAGGTTGTATGACTGCTTTCAACTCCTCGTTATGCGTACAAACCTTTTGTTTTTGCATACTTTTCTATTATCCACGTGTGTGTGCGTTTGCTAGCGTGCTCAGGTTCAGAACCCCTATAGTTGTTACGTCTTCTTTGCTACGCGCACGAGATAATGTTCGCCATGCAACGTCCAATGGGGTTCACTATTCCAGGTTTTTGTGCTGTCCTCCAAATTTTTTAAAACCTAGACTCCCGCATCTGACTTCTGTACATTTAATGTTTTCATCACATTTGCTTTTCTTGAAGCCACACTTCACATATGTACAGATTGGGCTTCATTTACCTCTCACTTTGTGCATTCTTAACCTGATCACGATTCAGGGTTGTGTTACTGTTACCTATTTGCTACTTTGTGATGGGCCTCGTACTACACCACCACACGCAGTCCCCTGAGCTCATGAAAAATGATACTGGTTATACTGTGTGTGTGTGTGTGCTTCTTCTCTCTTCCTTTTCATTCTGCCCATGCCCACTCATTGTCCTCCTACATTTGCGGACGGCACGGATTGCGCTGGAGCATCGTCAACGCAATTGTCCTACTGACTGGAGCGTGTTCACATTTGTACATTATTCGTCTACTGTAGCGTTTTGTTTTCTCTCCCTCATCATCAGCACACCCACATTTCTGCGCACAATTATTCATGGAATTATTAGATTACTTTTAATTTATTAGTTACTGAATTTTTCTCCTGTTAATGTTTACCTCAAAGCGACCGCACCGAGTCGGTTTCATTTCGGACTCAACCGTGTTCAAGTACCTTTTTATCAATGTAGGACTAAAGTTGTAAATTGGGATACGTTTCTAAATTGTTTTCACATTTTTTTTCATTTCTCCACCTTCTAGTGGATGTGGTCTTCTAGTGCTTGTCAACTCGTTGGTTTTTCGTCCTCTTACGCTTGGGAAACGCTAGTTGTTTTAGGTTGCCGCTGGGTTGAGGGAATTCTCTATTATTTTCAGCTCCCCTAGTTCATCTTTTCTTTATTCTCGAAGACGATCCTTTTAAGCTGCGAATAGCGATCGCTTTTTCTCTATTCCCTCATCAGTAGCCTGGTCACGTTACCAACGTTACTTCGGAATAAAATGGTTTTCCAGACACTACTTTCACGGATAGGCAGTACCACAAGTTGCCTCAATCAATAGAATCGAGGAAGTGTGTCTGTAAATGCTCGGCTGTTCCCCTTGACGAAAAGCAAATATGCCGTCGATGCAACCAAGACAAATATGAAAGAAAATAGCAGTCAACCAGAGGCTTAGGACTGATGTGTTGCTGTCGTTCAGTCAAAATGTGTCTACCGACTAAGAATAAAGCAGCACAAAGAGACCAGTGTGCGACTTTGCAAACCTTGTCAGCAATACACAGCCACGAATAAGAGCCATCGAGACAAACTCCTTACGGTCTCCGATACATTCTATCCTAATCAAGAGTGCCTCACAGATACTTCAGCATAAGACATCAGCCACCTAATCAGGAAAATACCTTAAACATGTCTCGGGTCAAGTTCACTGGCCACGTCAGACCCGGCCTTGAAGCGCTCGAAAGTATTATGCAAGGCTCATCGAGCCATAAAAGTATGCAGACGATAGCACAATCGACTACGCCGCTCATCAGTGCTATAACCCTGTCGTTCGTTACCGAGGAACCCCCGGAAGCCCCCTGGCTCGAGTTCGTACACAAATTAAGTCAGCTGATTACATATGCTTCAGAGTCAAGAGTCTGCATTGGGCATAAATCAGTCGTTAGGAGTAGAACTCGGAAATCGATGTTTGTTCGCAACTCAACATGGCGGGCGTATAAAGTAGCTCCAACGACAAGAACATGGGACCACGACCTCGCCCAACGTAAACACTGCACTCAACTGCTCAGAGAAGACAGCTTGCATATCAGCAGAACATCGGTAAAACCTTAGCACTAACAAAAAGCTGCTATACAAACACGGCAATGCCTTCTTACGATAAGGCAGGGATTCCCTCCACTTAGAACGACTGGCTGGGCAGCAGGAACGGGTAAAAAGCAGCAGACGCGCTGCGGATGCACTATGCCCTTCCAGAGGGATTCGTCGTGAAACGCTCTTCCAGCTTTTATTGCCCCGCCGCCAGGACTCCCCCTAATCTATTTTATCGCTGGTGCTATCTTGCAATTGCTCATGTCTTTTCGCAGCCACAACTCCCCGGGTGTTGATACCATTCGTCCAGAGGCACTGGGAGCATCAGGAAGACAATTAGTAGTATCTTCGGCTCAGTTCTTCCAGCGCTGCTTAGACCAGAAGCAGGTTCCTGTTATGTGGAAGCTTGTAATAATAGCCTATTTACAAAGGCGGAAGAAGAATTGAGTCAAGGTCATGGAATTCATAATTCCGGATACGCTGGTATGCTATCTGGAAAACTTCAATATTATTACTCCCGAGCAGCTCAGCTTCCGTCGACATCGATCATGCACCATGCATTCACTACTTGGGCCGATTCATCTGACGCTAGAGATGTTGATGTGATCATATTTTATTTTTCGAAAGAATTCACTCGTCTAGGGCGGTATTATGGAGTTCGTGATCCTCTCCTCCACTGGATCGCTAACTTTTCCCACGGTAAACGGTGGTCAGAGTTCAGAGCTTTTTATCCGATCCCATACAAAACGAGTATGGTGTGCCTCAGCTCAATTCTAGGGCCACTTCTGTTTTTGGCATTCAGCAATGGTCTGGCGCAGATTAATCGATTCAATTTTCTCACTTTTTTCTGACATCACGATATGGTGCAACATTCAGGCGACTACTGATCAGTATTCGTTTCAACGTGACTTCCTACATCAATGAGTAACCCGAAATCTATTACAGTTAAGCTTGGGCAACTACAGGGTACCCTACATGCGACACCAGAGCTCCTACTCCTATAGGCTAAGAACCCAAGTACTGTAGCGATCTTCCTTCGAAAGTGACCCGAGCGTATTGATACAGGATGATCTGGGCTGTTTCAAGCAATCCGAAGAAGCATCAAATGCCGATATTCAACACGTCGGACTGTAGTTGCGGGCCTTCAGACATATCTGCATCTCTGTGTTACTTCCGATGTTCAGCTCTTATGTTTGTCCTCATGTTTAGTGCACAGTTTATGGATGTCAGTCGTGGTTAAGTTATCTCGCTGTTCTAGAGCTGCCTCAACGTAAGGTCTTCAAGTAAGTAATGTGAATGTATAATAGTCCACATGCTAACAGATGTTGAAAAACATGGAAGTATTCATGAGATGGTATCCTCGATTGCAAAGTGACTTACCAATCCCCTACATGATACTGAGGGATCCGAATCATGTGTGTTACTTTTTACTAGGAATTAGCAATAGCATCCACCTGAAAAGTCATTCTTTGAGACGGGCCGAAAAATGCAGTCACCGGTCACGTATGTCATCCTTGAAACGCACTCCTCGAATCCATCGTTTTCACACCATGGCTAGCCATAATCAAAAGGCGATTGGATGACGCACTCATCCAGCTACATTTTATCACTTAACGTTATTGCTCAATTTCACTCATGAATTTAATCTCCGTCACCTGTCGGTACTGTGGAACTACATTGAGAACGGATATACTGTGTCATAAACACGTAAAAACATCCTCTTTTTGTCCATAAAAGTGAACCTTGCCAGGCTTGTAAATCAGTTTCCTAATACGGATAAAATCCTTATCCTTATTTGATCATATCGTAAAGGGCGTGTCTCGTAAACCCGAGAATGTATGTTACTATTGTTGGCCTGTACTTGAGGCAGCATAATTTCAGGATGAATACAGCCATTAGCAAGGAATAACCTACGCACAGCTTCGGAACCTCGGCAAGCGTTGCCAATATTGGCATCCGGTGCGTATACTTGGCACATTTGCCTGTCTGTCTTAACCGAATGCTCTTAGCGTAATCTTAGTAACTGGATCGCGCGGCCTGACCAGGGGTTTTCGATGGCTTAGCAACATTGAGTGCTGTGGATAAAGGTGGTAAACATGTGGTTGTGCTGCAACTGTCGTTACTCACGCTTGAGACTACTGAAGGGTGGCAATAACTGGGAATCCGTAAGGGTTGAAAAGTAAGAAGGCACTATCAGTAGCTTGATTTCCCCTACCCACGCAGCTGTACGCCACCGTTGGCTTAATCCTGTTAAGACGAATTTAGCGTTACCACCAGACTGCTCAGCCCTAGACAGCAGGACTTCGGATTTATCTGGCGCTCAAACATCCAACCATATACATTAATAATTGTCAACACGCCACATAAGTTGGTTCAGCTCTTATTCTGTGCCATCACGAGAATGTCATTATGCACATGAACGGCTTCGCTCCATCAATTTAATCTACGGCCACTGTGGGTCGATCAGTTACTCTTTAGCATCAGCCAACCGACCAATTCATGCAGTTGGGTTGCGCTGCACTGTCTGATTACATTTCCGTAAGCTTGCCACCCATTTTTAACCAAATTACATAATGTTATAGGACTTCGTTTGTTGGATCGGACTTACTATCCGCCGGTAGCAGTAGCCCTCTGTTTGTCTAAATCACTACCTAACCTAATTTGGTGGGTCGGGCAGATAAGCGCCAAATCACAATCCCATCTTATTAGTGGGAAATAGCATATGCAACGTCCTCACCGGCTACATAATAGGAAAGTATGCAGCACTCCGGGCATTTTAATATGTTGCACCTATACTATTTTGTGTCTTTGACCTGTTTATATTTTCTACTTTCGTATCCTCGAAAGCAAAGTAACTAAATAAGGTGAACGAATGTATCGACACTCTGTAGGCACCTCACGGCGGTTTCAACGCTTAGAGCAGTGGTTCGCAACCTGGGGATAATTACCCCCGAAGGAGTAAATGGCATTTTACTGGGGGTAACTAATAAGTACGAGAATTGGGTCATCAATCTGTTGCCAAACAAAATTAATAACAATCATTTTATCAACAAGACTAACTACACAATCAATGTTAATTGGCCATCACTGACTAATCACTGGTGAGTGCTCAGCGAATTAGACAATTTTCAATTAGAATCGTTATCATCTACTCTACGAATACAAGTTTGCAAAGCAGCACAGCTAGACGGCACCTCTATCGGTTTGCTCGTCGATCGTAGTTCTTTTTACTCAGATAGTCGTTCGCCGGGTTCAATTACAGTTGTGTGAACACGGCGAGCATAGGTCAGCTGACCGGGTAAAGGGACGGCGGAATGTTTACAAGGCAGAAGGGATAAAACGGAAGATTGATGTACAGTATATATCGTTACAGTTGCGGTGGGATCCTGTCATCCAGGACGGACTTGGAAATGATGGTTGAAACAAATGAGAAGCCACTTTGTTCATGTTTGATCAGGGATCACACAGCAAAACAAGGAAACGGATGAAAATGGAGCACAGCGTACGGTGTTCATTAGCCGAAATCACACAAACTATTGGAACTAAGCGTTATCAACTGTCCCATTAACATCACCTTTTGCTTTACTAAACCACTGCTCAACGCAAGTGTTTTCTTCATTTGAATGTGTAATCAAACATAATACATATTTTCGGTACACTAGCAAAAATACTTTAATTAGCGTTCTGAAGCGTGAAATATGGGGGCAATTGTGAGGGAAGCGGAGCGGTGCGAACTAGTTATGTGCTATAGCGAACGTATACATCATATGACATTTCTAATCTAGAACAGTCGGACTCATTTGCGCAAATCATTTGTGGTGCCATTTGATCAGACGCCGCTTTTTGTGTTATCGGCTCAGCTTGACAGTACGGTATACGTTCAACGCTCCGGCGCCATCCATTTTTAGAGCTGGTTGAATTGTGCACTACGCCCCCTCGTGCGCAGTGATCCATTATTCGCTGAGTTCGTCGCGCCTGCTCGTTTCACCAAACTACTCATTA